CATATTTATTCTGATCATTAATCTAATAATTTCATATAATTTATAGGCTAATTCAAGTTAACATTATATATTAGTCAATACAACATTGTTCTGGCTATATATACATTCATAAAGGGAACTAATTGCATGTTATTTTATTTTATTCAGCAATCCTGTATTCGTTTATAGTGAATTTAAACGATGTATTTTATCTTAAACTTGGTTACTTTTTGAGATTATATATTTAAATATATAATTGTATAACCTGAAGAGAATTAATTGAAAAGAATACTCTTCGTTGATATATTAGTGTTTTATTATGATAGAGATTTTTAAATAAGTACAAATAATTATAAGGGCCGTACTCTTAAGGTTGAAAAACATATGGAACTCAAAACAGCCGTCAGCCAACACCCACGTCAGAATCTTCAATATGAATGTCAAGACAGTTCTACTGTATGCAGCTGAAACTTGGAGGGCTACTCTAATCATTATCAAAAAGGCACAAGTATTTATGAACAATTTTCCACGCAAGATACTAAATGTCCGTTGACCGGATACCATCAGCAATAGCCTACTATGGGAGAGAAAAAACTAATTTCCTGGTGAAGAGGAAATTAGGAAAAAATGTTGGAAGTGGACAGGATGTACATTACGGAAATCTGCAAACTACATCCTAAGGCAATCGCCAATTCGGAATCCTGAAGGGAAACGGAATAAAGGAAGGCCGAGAAACACACTCGTTGAAACAAATATGAAAGGGGTGAATTACAACTGGAAAAAACTGGAAAGGATTGCCCAGAACAGGGTTGTATGGAGCAAGCTGGTGGGCTACTTGTTCTTATCCACCAGGAGTAACTGGCGTAAGTAAGTAATTACAAGTAATTATAGCACTAAACGAGGCTTAAAATTTCTTGACTAATCACTGAAATAAATTGTTTAATCATATCGAAATCTTTTATATTATATAAGGTCAAAATGGAGTCTCATTAAGTTTTAAACACTTAATTCAGTTATTTTTTTTACTTTTTAAACGAATAAGCTGAAATATGATTATAATTTAGTTATGTCTTTGTACATTAGAATAAATGAACTTAGGGTGTGTTCAGTTCATTTGAAAAAGTTTGATTGTTTTTCGGGTTTAGTTGTGATTAATTGAAATCTTATATGTTAAATGTAATTTTTCGTTTTATCTATGTCAATGTTAACACATTAGTTAAGTTCTTTTCAAGTCCTTTTTAACTCCTTACATATATGGTTAAACATTTCTGAGGGTTGATTAAGTGAACACGAAAAATTCACGTAACTGAAAAACGTTAATGATGCTAAACTTTTCAAGATTTGTTGATAGAATCTATGTTTCAAATTATTTGTTGTTGTTCCAAAAAGTCATATGCGATAACAGCAATTCCTTAGTAAAATCAAGCAATTACGCTTAATGTAATAAGTAGAAACTATGTACATAAAATATGATGTTTCAAACAAATATATTTGACTTTTGATTAAGATTATGAACCGATTGGTGTTAAACCTGGAAGCACCATGACCAGTGGAGCTAATCCATGTCAGGTAGAGACAGGTATATCCTCAGTACAATGGAAGATAGTAATGCAATTTCTTGGATTGGTTGAGGTTAGACATTAACCTTATTGGATGCCGACTTATTGGTCTAGATGTTGGGCGTTCGTGCACAAGCCCGAAGGTCGTGGGTTGGAATCCTTAGAGAAGGTCATGGATGAGGACTGCTGAGGAAACCCACCATAGGATGAAACGGCTGTCCAGTGCCTCCACGTTTTCAATGGTGGTCTAACATCAATCGGTTCATGATTTCAATCAAAAGCTTAGTAATCTCCTCAACCACATACTGATAAATGCATTTGAATGATTACATTAAAGGGAAAATTCTTGTTTGGACATTTTAAAAAATGATGAAACAAGAGAAAGATATTTCTTTTCAATTAGTTTTTAATTACGTCTCCGACATTAGTATGTTTATATAAATACTGGTCGAAATTTAAAAGCACATTTCGAAAGGGATATTAAACTAAGTATGTAGAAGACAATAATGTATATATGATTTTTCAAAGTGATCCCATTGATTGACATTTGAACAGTTTCAGCGTTTCACTTAAAAATGTAGTCCAAACGTATTAACGAAAGTAACTAGTTTTAATTATTTTCACCTGATAGTAAAAATTAAGATGTACAATAATAATAATAATAATAAAATAGATACTAATCAAATATTCATGTTTTAAACAAAACTATTAACAAATCGAAGTACTCATCAAAATATAATCCAAACAATAAGAATGAAATTGTGTGCTAGTAAACCTCTGATAGTCACTGGTAGTGTGGTGTTTGCTACTGATGTTGACAGATATATGTAGTATGTATTATCAATCTAAAATGAAATGTTTGGCGGTAGTAGGTTAAGAAGATCTAAAAGAAAAGGACGAGAACATAGAGTGATTGGTATGGAAACGAAGAAACAGTGAAGTCTGAGACAACTGACTTACATTTTGCAAATGAAGTATTTACTATATGGTTCTCAGATTTGACTAAGACATCCCAGAATATTTTATTCAATTACATTTGATTGTACTCGCCTATGTTCTCATTCATTGGAGTAGGAAATTTTTAAAAAAAACTTCAAGTAATGATACACCAGATTAGTATCGATATAATTAGACTAGTGTTGCATCAAGAGTAAAAATCATATCACATTACAGTGAACAATATCAAGTTACAAATGTTCCTTCGTCAAAATCCAGTTGCGTGAGATATATTTGTGTGTAATTATTGAGGCAACTGTACATAAATGCCGTACTATTATTATTTGACTGAACCCTACTGAGACATTATAAATAGATTTAAATAAACAATAAAATGAATGAACTTGGTAAAATACTTAGTTATAATAAAATTTAATGATTACTGAGTACTGACCAATGTTGTGTCTGTCTAGTCTTTCTGATGTTGGTGAAATTCTATTGATTCTATTTTTACTTGACTGCTAGTACAAGGAATGTTAGTTAGAGTCCGTTAAGGATCCTCATTTTCTTCAAGTCTACAGGTACGCCATTCTGATGAATGCCAAATATTACGGAAAGTGGGTTCACGTTTTTCTATCTGCAATCACCTAACATCACTCAGTTATAATGTTTGTGCTTAATTTTAAGAACGGATTTGTATAAATGAGATTTATTTGTGAAGAAATTTATGATAAACTACTAAGGTAATTTGGAAAAATGTTCATCAGTAAAATAACGGGAAAGTTTTTGAACTCTTCATGTTAAATGTCAACATCAGTCTTTATAGTTACATATTAAAAAGATGGAGAGAAAGTTGAGTTGTCACTAAGATGTGGAAAATTATAACAAACTATTTTTAGATACTAATTCTACACTGAACACAGAATCAAGTAAGATAGGACTTTTTATAATAAGTTTCATAAATAATCACCTTAAGATTGATAGTTCTCTATAAAATTATGAATAACTAACTTTAATATACCCATAGTTTGTATTGATTAATGAGTATTTGAGTTCTTGATGAAATTCTATATTTTAATTTGTTCATTTTTCTTATTTTATAAAACGAAAGAAAGTCTTCTTCTCGGTCAACTTGAATCAATCACACTGAACTGTTTATTTTCAGTAAATTATTAGCCCAAAAGAAGATGACTAAATTACAGTTTACAACTGTAAACATACTTCAAGACACTGAATTATTTCTGCTAAGATTAGTTTTAATGATAAAAATTAATTTCTAATATTTATTTGACTGTTTCATTGGTCGAATGAAATCTTAGCATTACGACAAGCCTTACAAATGTTAATGATGACATACTATCATCTAATATAATTCATTCACTCAAATATAGTTTTGATACAATTAAGGTCATTATTCAATAGTGATATATCCTTTTTAGTGGCAGCCAATGTTATTGTGAAATATGAATATACACGAATGTGTATCTGAATTTAACATGTATTTAAAGATAGATGTATAATAAAAGTGCACTGTAATCTAAATATGAAATCAAACAAAATCATTTTTATGGTTATAAGCAAAGATGGCTAGTGGCTAGTCGTGGAATCCAGGACTCGCGTTTCGTTCTATTTGGGACTCGTCAGTTGGATGTAAATGAATCCCAGAGTTGATGTCCACTCCGGGACTCGAACCCAGTACCGTCAGCTTCAAATGCAATCTCGTAACCCACCTAACTATTGAGTCCTGATATCCACCTGCTTGTGTAATAGGTGTACCTTCATTTAGAGTAGATGTTCACTCTAGATGCTAGCCACTATTCATCTTTGCCTGTAATGCTTGTAAACTAAGGCAACATCGAGGCAATACTCACAGTATTCACACATACCAATAAGAGACTGATCAATCGCAGTCATGCACATCGATGGGAAGATTCAAGTAAACAATACCAAGTGAATTCATTTTTATGGTTGTTGAAAAATTTGGAAGTAAAGGTGGAGAGTCAGTTGTGCTACTAGGTAACAAGCTCTAGAACTTCAAAATTCACTGAATATAAAGTAATCAACTTATTATCTTCTTGGTAATATGTTCCTTCAAACTACGCACTGGTCGTTGGAGAACTTAAACCAAATATAAGTTGTTAGTTAGCCATATGTGTTTATTGTTACAAGCAGAGTTTAAATATGGTTTATCCGTTCACCCTGTTAAATTTGACGATTTTGAGCAAAAACGTAAAAATCTGTCTGAACGTTTACCAATCTCTTTAGTTTATTCATACAGATCTGTTTTGTATCTTGACAAGGAATATTTTATTTTGTGAATAAAATATATTGTGAAGAGAAAACATTATTCGAAACGAAAGGAATGTTTTGCAATTAGATTTTAAGAAGTTTACAACTTATTCTATGTAATTGGTACAACTAAGGTGTTAAAAAACCCTACCTTTCCTTTCCTATATGTATTCAAATAGTCATTTGTGTCATCATCTTATTTACTGTTTTACTATCTTATTCACTTTTAAATTTCAGAAATATCACAAGTCAGTATGCTTCAACAAACAATTTTAAAATGGGGAAAACATTTCATACGGAACAAGCAAAAGATCAGCAAGCGTCATCTTCTTCCCCAACACCATTTCAACAGACTGTTAATGAAACAGCAACTGTTACAAATGCTGGACAATTGAGTAGATCAGGATTTTTACGTCATCCATTACGTAAAGCTATGAGTTATGTGAAACCTCAATCAGAATCTTTTGTATCAGTTAAATCAGCTTCAAGAAGACTTCATCATACTTCAACTATTGAGAAACCGGATGATCCAAAATTCAGATCTAGCAGCAAGAGTTCAAGTCGTAATTCACTTTATAACAATATAAAACATTTCGATTTGTCAACTAAGGTAAGAACAAATTGAATTTCAAAATAAAGAATGAACAAGATTCACTTAACATTTGATTAGACCATTGTGGTTACCGCCTTATCATAGTTAACTTAAATTTATGGAATATTTTATAAGGAAAATCTGAGTTTGGATTTTTCTCAACTATTAAGATACCGAATATTCCTTCTGTATTAGAGTTGGGCTTACTATATTTCTCTTCTAGTGTATATTGTGTTTGCACAGTATGTAATTTTTTTCTTAGATTTTTAGCGACTAGTGTTTGTTTAGACAATTTTGATTTCCTGTTCAGTAGTTACAATTAATCGATAAATAATTCCTAACTAACTAGGTATTCATTCAGAAAAATAAAAAAATATTTCGAATATACAGGTGGCGACTAAAAGAAAAAAAAAACTCTAACATGATTTATCTATATGCGGAAAGCGGTCCCCTTCCTAAATTTTTAAATAGTCAATAACAGAATTTTCCAACTTAAAAAATTTAATGTTCGAATTATGGCTCCAGTTTTTCTTAAGATTAACAAACAATATTGTCTAGACGATTGCCTAAAAAAGGGATATTGTTTTAGATCAATCTTCTTCAGATGTCAAACAAAAGCTTATAATGGCACTTCGGTTACATGTTTTGCTTGATAACATTTCATTAGAGTTGAAACTTGAATGGTCATATATTTGACAGACTAAATCATCCAACGTGCTAAGGTTTAGCGATACCATTCATGGATGCCAGGTCAGTGGATCCAATAGTGATAGTGTTTAACATCAACCAATGCACGAAATTGAGCGACCATCTTCCATTTTACTGAGGTAGATACCTGTCTCGACTGGTCACGGTTTCTCACTAGAACTCCGAGAATTCCCTCACAAAGCTAGTCACTAGTGAACTGTGAAGATTTTAATAAGTTTTCAATTGAGATCATGAACCGATTGATGTTAGAGCACCATTGAAAACCTGGAAGCACTGGACGGCCGTTTATGTAAACGATGTTGTAGAAAATAACGAGAAAAAGTATTAGTTTGTAAGTTATTTCCAATTTATTTATATTTAATCATTATTTACCATTGTTTCTATAAACCACCTCTGCAAATGTCAATGAAATAACATGTATTGATTTCTACGGTAAAATCTATCAAAACGTTGAACTAGATATATGCCATGCACTAATAAATACCATTTAGTGTTTTTAAAAAAAATTGAAATAATCGAAAGGAAATGAGTTCATTACAGCGAAATGTGATCATTACGTAACTCCAGTGCATTTTCAAATTTGTAAAATACAGTCCAAAACCAATCAGCAACAAGCCTATATTATTATCATAATTAGAATCATTCATAATTTATTTATGTAAACTTGAATTCAGCCAAGTAAAAACTAATTTTGATTAGATGGTGGTTGAACGTAGTCGACAGGAAACCCTGGATCCGGGTTTTGTGCTACATGGCACTCGTCAGCAAGGTGTACCCGTAATTCTGATTGAACTGGTGCTCCCTGGCGGATTCTATCTCGTGTCACCTAGCTTCACAGTCAGAGACGTTATCACTGAGCTATTTGAGCAGCGACCGACCTCTGATTAATTGTGAAAAATTAATTTCGTCAGGTTTATATTTTATTGATAGTAAAGTACATTAATTATTTCTTACTTTGTTATTCTCTATTTCATTCGACTTTTATTTGCTTTTTAAAAAAATAATCAAAACATCTAAGCCAACGAATGAATGTTTACAAATGAATGATCATTCAAATCGATCAACTATACAGGAAGTTTACACTGGGGAATCATGCTATTCAACAACACCTAAACAAGCCATAAAAAGTGATGTAGAAAGAAAAACCAAACAAAAAGAGTAAGTAATTCTGATTGTATCTTTTCAATAGTAAATAGAATTTCAGGTTATTAATATTCACATATATACGCCTTCGATGTTGCAGTTAGGATATTAAAATCCAAATCATTTTTGGTTACTTATTTACACAGAAATACGTTGACAAGGAAGATCATATATCTAAGGAAAACAAATGACAACGAATTTTATCCTTAATGAAACTAATAATGTGGTGTGTGCTACTGATGTTGACAGATATGAGTAGTATGTATCATCGATCGAAAGTAAAGTGCTTGGAGGCAGAAGGTTAAGAAGACCTAAGAGAAGAGAATGATTGGTGTGGAAATGAAAGAACAACGAAGTCTGAGACGGTTGATTGACATTTTGCAAATGAAGTGTTTACTGTATGGTTCTCAGATTTTACTAAGATGTTCTATAATTTTGTATTCAAATATACTTGGTTGTCCCTACTTGTGTTCACTATAGTAATATAAGCTTCATTGTTGTGTCTACACTTAATCTATTTTATTTACTATACATGACATATTAAATTTTAAAAAATTATTAAATATATATGTCACCTCTGGTTTAAATGATGATAAACTGAAATATTAGTCAAAGATGGGCATTGGCTAGCAGTGAAATCCAGGACGCGCGTTTCGTCCTATTTGGGACTCATCAGCTGGATACACCTGTATCGCAAAGTTGATGTTCAGTCCGGGACTGAGTCCTGATAGCTACCTGCTTGTGCAATGGGATGAAGTTCAAATTCACTCAGTGTTGTTTTACTTGTATCTTCACATTGTTAATTCGGACTGCAATTCATCAGTCTCGCGTGGATAACGCGATGACGTTTGAAGCGAACGGTACTGTGTTCGATTTCAGGAGTGAATATTAACTCTGCAGTGCAGGTACATCCAGCTAACGAGTCCCATATAGGACAAAACACGCATCCCGTATTCCAGTGCTAGCCACTATCCATCTTTTCTTCAAAAACGTGTGACTTAAGGTTATATCGAGGCCATTCGCATAAGATGCACATATGCCAACATGAGACTGATCAAGTGTAGTCCTAAATAACAATGGGAAGATACAAGTAAAACAACACCAAGTGAATTGAAATATTAGTCGCTGAAATATCAGTATGGATTAAATTCATAATTTGCTTCATCACTTAGTTTTTCATAGACTTAAATATTCGCCTTATTGCCTTACATTTTAATGCATTTTTTTTTCTAAATTGAAAGTTATTTTTGATTGTTATGAAAACTTTGAAATTACATCTGTATAAACTACATGTTCTCACGTGACTAAAACAGTCTTCGGTTATTGATGTACTCACTATAATACAAATGGCAACATACTTAACTAAATTACAGGAATAAACAATTATGACTAATGGATTTTTCTAATTTTTCAACTTACATCTTCATAACCGATTGGAATAAGATGTAAACTGACCCATAATGTTGTTGTTAAGTTTTGTGTATTTTCTATTTATTATTTATTTAAAATAAATTAAAATGAACAAACGAAACGGAGTTTGGTAAGTAGATTGTCTGACCATATTTATATTATATGATAAAAGTTTGGCTATCAGTTATGTAGATTCATTTCAAACTTACTGAATATAGTCACTTCATATTACTAAGGTTCGCATTACAATTGAAATTACTGACATGTTTGTGTAATTCAATTACTAAAAAGAATATTAAAGCTGAAGTAGTTGATCACGATTATTATAAATAAAATCATAGTAATATTGAAAGTGTAGATACTGTAATTCGATTGTTACTGTCAACCAACAACAGAAATGTTGTAACTTTCAACAAGACACCAGTTACTAATGTCAATAATCAATTATATTGAATGAATGTGAATAGTCTTTTTTAATTTCATAGTAATTTTCATAGAATCTATCTCTGATAATTAAGATTCGTGTCTGCTATTAATAGCAGTTTGATAAATTCCAACAAATAACGATGACACTAATAATCATAATAATATCAATAATAATAATCGAAATCAATATTCAAATTACATTTTAAGTAGTGTTGGATGATTGTTCAGGGCAAAATTCAGGACGTACATTTAGTTCTATATGGGACTCATCATCTGGATTGACCTACATCAGAGATTTGGTGTTCACCCCGGGACTCGAACCATATTCCTTTCACTTCGAACGCGTTATTCACTTAGCTGTTGAGTTCAGAGAGTCAATGACTTGTGGAAATGCAGTAATAAATACCAATGGGGAAATTTAAACAACCAATACAAAAATGAATTAAAGTTTACCCCCATTGCGCAAGCTAGTAGCTATCAGGACTCAGTAGCTAAGCGGGTAGCGAAATGACATTTGAAGCGAACAGTACTAGGTTCGAGTGCCTGAGTGAACATCAACTCGGATGCAGGCATACCTAACTGACGAGTCCCAAATAAGACGAGACGCACATCCTGAATTCCACTGCTAGCCGCCATCATCTTTGCTCATAATACTTGTGACTTTAGGTAATATGGAGGGGATCCGCACAGCACGAACACATTTCTATAAGAGACTGCTCTATTGCCACCCTAAACATCAATAACAAGATGCAAACAGCCAATATAAGTGAATTCAAATTCAAATTGCGTCTTGATGCATCATTACAATTACAGAGTATATTCTGTTTTAATATTTCGATAACAACAGTTTCATTTCGTTCTTTTGGTAATTAAATTTTTTCTTACAATGGGAAATTATCTTAACATAAATGGGTAACATATGTTATTGTTTTGCAAATGAACTCATTTACCGAATTATTTCATCTTTTATTTCACAATTTATTTCGTAGGTTCATTTACTTGATAATGAAAATAAAGAGTTGAGATATAAACCTATAAACATAAAATATTATACATGTTGCGTTTTATAGGTTCCAGTTTCCGATGAACATTTTTATGCATATATATATATATATATTTATCATGTGAACACGTGTGAAGTGTAACTGTCTTATACTTATACTACTCTAATAAACATTTAACTTAAAACATAAGTTGGGTATATATCATCTTCTATTTACATGTACTCAATACTGTTTGTGGATATCCATTTAATAATAAAAAAAATAAGAATACTAAATAACAAAAGTATCACCGACGATAACCAAATTAACTCAATGGATATAAATATGTATAATAAGTAGAGCATTTCTCTATTGATGAATTAAAAGAAAGTAGTAATAGTTTTTGTATCTGGTGTTAAATATAGAAAATCTAAAAACTAAGCACCCTTTTAAACGACTTGAATCCATTTGATTGTGTTTGGACATTTTAGTAAAGCAATTGTTACTGACTGGTCACTTTTAGACTTACATTACTTTGATTATTAGCTTATAAAATGTAAATATGTAAGAAATTTATAGTGATTAATTGAAAACGGGCTAAGACTACAAATTAATTAAATAATCATTGTTAGTGATCAGTATCACAGATACTTAAAGAGAAATATCTTGTGGTGTGGGTTACTTATATCCATATATGTAATATATAACGGTGGTCAAGCATAGAATATATATTTTAGTAGAACGTAGATGAGGAAAGAACAGGAACGGAATGCAATTGGTATGAAAATGCATGAACAATGAAATATAAGACAATGGAGTGATGTTTGCAACAGGAACAGTCAAGTTTGAGATGATAGATTGGTATTTTGCAAATTAACGATTTACTGTATGGTTCCCAAATTTTATTGAGATGCTCTGCAATTTCGTGCCAAATACATTCTCTTATGCTCACTGGTGTTCTTGTTCACTACATTTTATTTATATTGGTGTATTAATATTATTATTACTAATATTATTGTTATTAATTGTCATAGTTTTTGTTGCATTAATTAAAACCAGATCATAAAAACAAAAATTTCTAAATATTGATTATATCACATGGGTTTTTTGGATACTATAGTAATTTCAATGGTTAAGATCATGGGTCAGTTTAAGCTAGTGCTCACTAGTGACTGGCTTCAAGAGATATATCCTGGAGTTCTAGTGAGAAGTAGTGATCAGTGGAGTTCAACCAGGTCTATTGTGAGATAGTAACTCACTGAAGACAATGGTGGATGTGTCGCTCAATTTCGTGGGTTATTTGAAGTTAGACATTAACACTGTTGGATGCCGGCTCAGTGGTCTAGTGGGTAAGTGCTCACGCGCGAAACCAGTAGGTCCTGTGTTTGAATCTCGCAGGGAGCGAGGTCGTGGATGCGCACTGTTGATGAGTTCCACAATAGGACGAAACGGCCGTTCAGTGCTTCCAGGTTTTCCATGGTGGTCTAGCTTCAACTAATTCATGATATTAATCATTGAAATTATTGATTCTATCACAATAAATAAGTAAATTCCGATAAATATTATCAGGAGAACGTCTATCGTTAAAACATTATATGTTCAGTAACAAAAAAATGATAATAGAACACAAACAAAACGAATGGACAACAAAATTTTATTATTATTAGTTCATCCAGTAACGAGAATATAAGTCAATCATTCAATGAAATATGATTCAGAAAACAAAGAATTAGAATGCAGATGAATGTTAAGAAAAGTAGAAAAAGAAAATAATTAAAGACAGCATATGTAACATGTTTCTTTTTTTCGTAATTAAAAATTACTCATGTAGCTGTATTCAAATATCAATAGAACAATGAGCAGACGAAATTGAGCTGGAAAGATGTGATGTATTTACGTTATACATTTCGAACAATCTGGTCACATATATAGTTGTCAAGACATTTTATATGAAAATTAATAAAGGTCAATTAAATGAAAGTTCCAGTAAAAAGGTAACAAAGGGGAGAGAAATAATGTTTGCATCATATAGAATGAATAAGAAATTGTCGCTTTATTTTAAGCCATAGAATGACTTAAGGATTAGCAGGGTACATTGTTAAGTTCAAATACATCACATTTTTCAGATCAACTCCATCTTCTCATTGTTCTATTGAAATTTATAAAAAGGGAATAATTGCTTTAAATAGATAAATAATCCATCGTAAAATCAAACTTGTTTTATTAGTTGTATACGTTAAGTTTCATAGAATAATGTAAGACCATTTTAAGAACCAATAAAAATAAAAGAACATTAAACAGATATTTTAATATAGGAAAAAAAATGAGACTATAACTTATGAATGAACAAATCAAATTTAGGATAATATTAGTCTTGGATTTTGGCGCGGAATTCTTTCATCCGTTTGGTTAAATAGCTTTTCGGGATTATAGCTGATGTTAGTTCGTGATGAAAACGTTAAATCTAATTTCTAATCTTATTCATCAACTTTAAATCATAATTGTCATTCCTCACACCGGTTTATAATCGTCATTTAATCCTATCTATAGGTAGATATTCTGAAGGTCAGTTTAGTGTTTCTCAAAAGTCGTCCATAAACTATAAACTTGCCGTTGATGAGAAAAAAACCAAAGTGTGACTGGTTCCCATAAATATGTTAACAAAGCACATCCTAATAATTAATCATGTCTATTCAGAATTAATTTTCGACTTTTATGCTTTATTCCAGTTAAACAATTCATCTAATTAAAATGCAGTTCTGAAATCGTGTTATATTTATTTTCAGGAGTATAAATTTGTTATTTTAAAATTCGAAGAAAAGAACTTTAGCGATGATCAAGTTTATTTCAATTAACGTTCAACCATAGTTTTAAAACTCTCTATATAACTAACCGATAATTGAGTGATGACCGATGTTATGTTTACCCAGTTCTTCAGTGCTGATTGTTTTCTCTCGACTAGTTTAAAATATGACTACTATTTTAAAGGACTCAACACTGAATGCACCATTTTTAGAATTACAGTGGCTGATAATATTTAATAGGGAACCTCAGATATGGGTTTTGTGATAATCGGCGCTAATCAGAAAGGTATGCACGCAATCTTGTGCAGAATAATGTTACCGATTGAATTCTGGTCCTTATTAACCAGCATCATCGTTAAAGACTTGACCACAGAGTTATTCGAATAGCCGTTACAATTGTTAATTGAATTAATTATAATTAGGTGACGATAACTCAGATTACAGTATTACAAATTCTAAAGTATTTGTTGAACTAGTAATGAACGATTCCTAAGCTAATTTCAAACATCAAAGCGTACAACGTAATAGTCATATTGAAAATGGAAACAATCTAATAAATAATTTAAAAATGTCTGCAACATAGTTAGTATATAAAATATTAAGTAGAAACATAATTGAGAAAAGAGATTGTTAGAAGATCGAACATTGTCAATTATAAACACATCATGTGGTAAGATGTTCATTAATCAATGATTTGATTTTGAAAAGAAAGAATAGTTATAAGTTTAACCCTTATATTAATTTTATTTAACATTTTCGTTCAAGACAATTAACGGCTTCATAAATATCTCAAATCTATTAACTATAACAACATATGGTAACATTATATAAATATTGTGTCATAATGGAAATTTTATTGTTTTCTTTCGTCGTATTTTTCGGTTCCTACGATATAAATTTATTGAAGTCAACGTTATTTTTTTCTCTCACAAAATTCGAGTATTTCTTGGTACCTTTCCATAAGTAAAGAAGTAATCAGTGAAATATCTATTGATAATGAACTAAACATATAATCATTATATTTAAACTGAAAAAAATGGATGTAACTAAAAATGTTGCCACCTCATTCAAGCTGAGTGGCCTAAATATTATGAACTATCCAAGAAATCTAAATTTATCAGTTTAGGGTTTGTGGAGATGGGTAAGTTTTTGATTGAGATCATGAGCCCATTGATGTTAGACCACCACTGAAAAACTGGAAGCACTGGACGGCCGTTTCGTCCTGTTGTGGGACTCCTTAACAGTGCGCATCTACGATCCCGCTCGCAGGATTTGAACTCAAGGCCTTCAGTCGCGCACGCGAACACTTAGCCTACCAAACTACTGAGTCGCCATTCAATGGTGTTAATGTCTAACCTCAACCAATCCACGAAATTGCGCGACCACCTTACGTTGTACTGAGGTAGACACCGGTTTTTACCCGACACGGATTAGCTCCACTGGTCACGGCTTCTCACCAGAAAGACGAGAACTTTCTCACGAAGCTGATCACTATTGAGCACATGATAGTGATCAATTTAGGGGTTGTGGAGATTGTTACGTTTTTGATTGAGATTATGAACCGATTGACTTTAGACCAGCATGGACCACAATGGAAGATGGTCGCGCAATTTCGTGGATTGGTTGAGGTTAGACATTAACACCATTGGATGGCGACTCAGTAGTTTGGTAGGCTAAGTGTTCGCGTGCGCGATTGAAGGCCCTGAGTTCAAATCCTGCGAGCGGGATCGTAGATGCGCACTGTTAAGGAGTCCCACAACAGGACGAAACGGCCGTCCAGTGCTTCCAGTTTTTCAATGGTGGTCAGGTTTTATTCTTTGAAGATATTTGTACATGTACAACTGACTAAGTTCATACTAGAACTAAATCATTAACTAATTTTTCCCAGTTTTTTACTAATTTTTTGGTTCATATTATGGATTGACAAAATACACTTATTCAAAAGTATTTATTAACAATATATAACAACATATTTATTTTAATATTGTATTTCTTCTAATTATAGTATCCGCCATCTGAATGATTTAATAACGAATATTTTACCAAGATCATTCTCTAATGCATTTAGACGACCAGTAGGTAAATGTAAAAGCGCATCGCCTACAACAGTAAATGATCATCATATAGAAAAACTGATCGATTCTTTCAGATTTGATAATTTTGAAGTAGAAAGTCAACATTCAGAGAAATCTCCTTCTGACTTCTTAACACCTAATGAAGCGTCTCCAGTTCTTAATGAACATAATGTGCCAACAAGAAATCAACTACAACAATGGGAACAATCATTTGACAAGCTTTTAGCTGATACAGGTAGAAAAATGCTTTTTTGATTAATTACTGTGTACTTTTCAATATACCTGAAAATATTCATTTAAATTAGATAATTTGATACGCATAGTTAAAACCGATATACAACAAAACATATTCTTATAAACGTTTCAATGTAATGTTTCACGTTTTCGTGTTATATGAAAGAGATCAGACAGAGATCCTGGACTTAATCTTTGGCAGGGTCGTCAATAAATATTACTGTGGTATTCTTTACTTAGATGAAACAGCCATCAGGTACTTACAGGTTCTCACTGGTTGTCTAACCAAAGTTATTCTATGATGTAAAGTATGTATACATAATAGCAATCCGTAAATAGTTGTCAGAATTCATCCATACTTTAATCTTCTTCGAACAAAATAGCTCATACACTAACTAGTTTCAGTGTCAATAAACAATGAACTTTAGCAAAATCATTTCTTTGAAATTCTTGAAATATTTGTAATTCATCAGTATCAACTCTTTGAGATATAATATTTCAATCTCAACTGAGAACCAATAGAACTTAAACTTACGTTTGTAATTTAGACATAAAAAATAACAAAATCCCCGTCATAAATTTCGTCAACTATCCAATAAATGTAATGAATATCAAGAACCTATATGTTTCATCAAAAGGACCAAATAAGAATGGAATATTATCAAAAAGCGATAAATTTAGAGGTCGTTTAAGATTCATTGTATACTTACGACTATCTTACTGTTATTCTACAATAATAACAATAAGTATGTGGCTTCCTCTAACAGTAGTATCTATATTTCTCAAAGTGAATTACAATAGAAAGCTGTCTTATTAAGTTTTTCATTTATTGTTATAGTCAATGACACTACTTGAACAGTAAATATTTTTTCAATTTTTTAAAACATCAAATACTCGTAGATTTTGATGCTGAATAAAATCACAAACATGCCATTTTTTTTCTTTAAATTCACTCATTAGTAAGTAATTTTACGCATAATTTAATTTTACAGATGGTTTGTCTCAATTTCATCACTTTTTGAGATCAGAATACAGTGAAGAGAATATTGAGTTTTGGTTAATTTGTGAATTGTATAAACATCTACCACAAGAAGATCTTGGTGAAGAATCACGAAGAATCTATCGTCTTTATTTAGCGCCACATTCACCACATGAGGTAAATTGTGAGCTAAAATTAATCTTACTATTTGTATTACATGAATATGAAAACAGTTGTATTTCATTAGTGATGACTATGGAAAATACCGGTTCGTTGTGGTTTTTGATTGACTTGTCATAAAATACGTTTTAGGTTCCTTAATAACAACCGAATAGCACAGTGTACTTATTTCGTTTTAAAAGTCAAAATATGTGTTTCATATGTTTTAAGGTTATAATAAAAAAGCTAGGAATAATATGACTTTTAGTTTCTTAATATTACTAAACATTTGTTTTATAAATGACCCAGGTATTTGATTATGTTAGTCCTCTGAGACTACTAGAAATCTCAATACAACACTTTGGGAAGTAGTTGTGAACTTCGGTAATTGGTTGACTTTCTTGAACATTTTAAACAGCATAATGTTGGATTCACTATAAATTCGATCTAATGAAATCCTTCAGCCATCGTTTTCGTATTACCCTTTCAACTAGAGGCTTGTTTGTTCTCTCCCACAGTAGGCTGTTGCTAATGATATCCGGTCAACGGACATTTAGTATCTTGCGTAGAAAATTGTTTCTATATACTTGTACCTTTTTGATGATGGCTGTTGTGGCCCTCCAAGTTTCAGCTCCATACAGTACAACTGTCTTGACGTTTGCATTGGAGATTCTGACTTTGATATTGACTGACAGTTGTTTTGGATTCTGTATGTACTTCAGTTGTAGGAATGTTGCCGTTGCTTTGGTAATCCCTGACTTTAGGTCTGTATCAGATCCTCCTTGTTCATCTGTGATGCTGATCGGGTATGTGAAAGTTTTCACCTCTCTCAGAGCTTCTCCATCAAGTGTGATTGGGTTGGTATTCTTTGTGTTCTACTTCAGGATCTTTGTTTACCCTTTGTGTTTATTGAGGACTGCTGCTTCAGAGGCTCTACTGCTACAATTGCTAGTGATTTTCTAGTATGATAAATATCTGCTTATGATAACTAGTTTCACGGAATGTTGACAAAATCATAGTGAGTAGTGTAAATACCGATTATTAAAAAATATTCATATTCTAATCATTTAGATATTCATCGATTACATCAATACCCCAAAGTATATCTAAATCAATAAGCGACTGTCATATAAGTTCTGCTAATTCAACTGAAGTAAATTATCTTGTAAGTTACTATATTTTCTGATCAAAAGAATAAACACAAGCCAGCAGTGTGTGAGTGAAACATTAGTAAATCGTTTTCAGTCTTTAAGTAATTATATGAAATAAATCTCACTAAACACAGACCATTCCTGTATAAATAATTTAATGATTGGGTTTCCATGATCCGTTTAGTTATAATAAGTTACTTTCTTACTTACTTACTTACTTACCTATGTCTGTTACTCCTAATGGAGCATGAGCCGCCGACCAGCATTATCCAACCCACTCTGTCCTGGGCCTTCTTTTCCAGTTTCATCCAATTCTTGTTCATTTTTCTCATGTCCATTTCCATTTCCCGGAGTAATGTGTTCTTTGGTCTTCCTCTTTTCCTTTGGCCTTCAGGACTCCCTGTGAGGGCTTGTCTTGTGGCGCAGTTGGGTGCTTTCCTCAATGTGTGTCCAATCCACTTCCAACGCTCCTTCCTGATTTCTTCCTCCTCTGGGATCTGGTTTGTTCTCTCCAACAGTGGGTTGTTGCTAATAGTGTCCGGCCAATGGATCTGAAGTATTTTGCGTAGACAATTGTTAATAAACACCTATAGTTTCTGGATGATGGCTTTTGTAGTTCTCCAGGTTTCTGCCCCATACAGTAGAACTGACTTGACATTTGTATTGAAAATCCTGACTTTGGTGTTGGTTGACAGTTGTTTTGAGTTCCAGATGTTCCTCAGGCGTAAATATGCTGCTCATGCATTTCCGACACGCGCCTTCACATCTGCATCAGATCCACTCTGTTCATCGATGATGTTGCCCAAATATGTAAAGGTTTTTACATCATCCAACTCTTCTCCGTCAATGGTGATTGGGTTGGTGCATGCTGTGTTGTATCGGAGAATCCTGCTTTTCCCTTTGTGTATATTGAGACCTACTGCTGCTGAGGCTGCTGCTACACTGGTCGTTTTCTCCTGAATTTGTTGTTGCGTTTGCGATATGAGGGCCAGATCATCTGCGAAGTATAGATCATCCAGCTTCATCCTAGATGTTCACTGTATCCCTCGTTTCCCTTCAGATGTTGACGTCTTCATGATCCAGTCGATCACCAGGAGAAAGAGAAAGGGTGAGAGTAAGCAACCTTGCCTAACACCGGTCTTCACTTCGAACGACTTTGTCAACTGTCCTCCATGCACAATTTCGCAGTGTAATCCATCATATGAGTTTTGTATGATATTAACTATCTTCTGAGGCACGCCGTAGTGTCGAAGAAGTTTCCATAGTGTTGTTCTATCCACGCTGTCAAATGCCTTTTCGTAGTCAATGAAGTTGATGTAGAGTGATGAATTCCATTCAATTGATTGTTCCACAATGATCCGTAGAGTTGCGATTTGGTCTGTACACGATCGACCCTTACGGAATCCTGTCTGTTGGTCTCGAAGTTTCGCGTCTACGCAGTCCTTCATCCTGTTTAACAATACCCTGTTGAAAACTTTTCCCGGTATTGAGAGAAGAGTGATGCCCCTGTAGTTATCACACTTGCTGAGATCGCCTTTCTTCGGTATTTTGATCAGAGGTCCTTCTTTCCAGTCTGTTGGTACTTGTTCCTCATCCCAAATCTTATTGAAGAGAATGTGGAGTATCCTTGCAGCTGCCGCTATGTCTGCCTTTAGTGCCTCTGCTGGGATGTTGTCTGGCCCTGCTGCTTTGCTACTCTCAATTTGTCTGATGGCCATGCTGATTTCTTCAATTGTTGGTGGGCCAACATTGATTGGGAGGTCTGTGGGTGCTGCTTCGATGTTGGGTGGGTTCAGTGAGGCTGGTCGATTCAAGAGTTCTTTGAAGTGTTCTACCCACCTGTTTCGTTGTTCTTCAATGTTGGTGATTACTTTGCCCTGCTTGCTTCATACTGGTCGTTCTGGTTTGCGGCGATTTCTAGAGAGTTTCTTTGTCGTGTCATACAGTTCTCTCATGTTTCCTTCTCTTGCAGCCTTTTCCGCCGTCATTGCTAGATGTTCCACATATTTACATTTGTCGGTTCTGATGCTCCTCTTCACTTGTTTGTTTACTTCTGTGTATTCAGCTTGTGCCTTGGCTTTTTCTGCTCTTGTTCGACTGGTATTGATTACTGCTTTCTTATTCCTCCTTTCTTGAATCTTATCCAGTGTATCAACAGTGATCCATTCCTTGTGGTGGTGCTTCTTGTGACCCAGGACCTCATGACATGTTGAAGTGATTGCTTCTTTGATCCCCTCCCAGTTGCTCTCCACAGTAGTTTCGTCTCCATTGAGTAGATCATGAAAGCCCTGGAACTTGTTGAGTTTGTCAGTATCCCTCAGGAAAGCCGTATTAAACTTTTGTGATATTGTCCGCCCCGTTGTCCAGTGCTTCTTGAGTTTCAATTTCATCTTGGCGACCAGCAAGTGACGATCTGATGCTATATCAGCTCCTCTCTTGGTTCTCACGTCCTCTATAGTCCTCCTGAACGTTTTGTTGATACAGATATGGTCGATCTGGTTTTGTGTGGTGTGATCCGGTGAAGTCCATGAGATTTTGTGAATGCGCTTATGTGGGAATATGGTGCCGCCTATGACCAGTTTATTGAAGGCACATAGGTTTGCAAATCTCTCACCATTTTCGTTTCTTTCTCCCAGTCCGTGTCGCCCCATGATGTTTTCATATTCAGTGCTGTCCGTTCCAACCTTGGCGTTGAAATTTCACATCAGAATGGCCAGGTCCTTTGTTGGGCACTTCTCGACGATTGACTGCAGCCTTTTGTAGAATTGATCTTTAGCGTCTTCATTGTAGTCGTTTGTAGGCGCATAGCATTGGATGACGTTCATTGAAATGCCCTCTTTCTTTGTTTTGAACGAGGCTTTGATGATCCTTGGTTCACGAGATTCCCATCCTATAAGTGGGTTTTGTGCTCTTTTGGACAGCATCAATGCAACTCTATGTGTATGTGGAGCATTTTCTTCTTCATAGTCAGAGTATGACAAAATCTCCCCTGAAGCTAGTCGTTGTTTTCCAACTTGCATCCAATGTATTTCACTGATCTCAAGCACATCTAGGTTGTATCTTCTCATTTCTGCAGCAATTTGGAAGGCTCTCCCGGTCTCTCACATTGTACGAGTATTCCATGTACCTAAATAAATTGTTGCTCTAGTTGTTAGAAAGGGCGTCGGCCTCGTGACTTCCGAAGGAATTCGGCTTTCATCATGAGGCCTCATAGTTCTTCTAAATGAAGTCCTTCTGACTCCCAGGGCAGAGTTTAAAAGGTTTGAATAATTTTTTCTGGTTAGCGTTTTTTTAGAGAGTTAGTTTTCTATGGGATGGAGACGCTAACCCCATGCCCAACTCTCCTCCTTTATCCGGGCTTGGGACCGGCAGTAGCCCCCGGAGGGGCTACAGGAGGAGTTAAGTTACTTTCACTATACTTCAAATTTATAAAGTATATTTTCATCAAGACCAAACATTTGGTGATGCTAGAATAAATGATCAATGTTTCGGGTGGCAAACATTAGTCAGTATCTTTTATTTCGGATGTATATACGTAACCTATAACAAATTTTGTAATTATCAGTCAATTTTTCTATATAACTCTAAGTTTGAACCATTATATTCCTGTCATTAGGAATCTTTATGTATATTTAATATCTGGATCAACTTCTTCAGTATATAAGATTGAGAAGATCTTCATCTATTGAATTATAATACTTTTCAGTCAAAATAGGAATAATTAAGCAAACCTTTTAAGAATATACAGATATTTATTGTAACAGAAAAGATAAATAAGTAGTTATTGAATTACTTGTAGGGGATGATTGAACTCAGTTTAAACTACATATGATTGTTCACTCAGAAAGTTCTCTACATTGGAATACCTAGTACTTCATTTTGAAAATACTTAAATATTACTTATTGATCAAACGTATGTTATTAATCTATTAATTCATGACCATAGAAAGATCCGTACAACTTCTTTTATTTCAGTATACAGTTCATTAAAAAAAACAACGATGTACTGGATCATTTACATCTCTGTTTGTATACTCTTTGTTTTTTTTTAAAGGTTAATTTAGATTCGGAAACTCGGAATCAAACAATCGCTAGCATAACAAATCCAACTAATGAATCATTTATTTTAGCTCAACAAACTATTCAAGGATTAATGAATAAAGATTCTTATCAGCGGTTTTTACGTTCTTCGTTTTATTTTGAATTAAAACAATTAGTTTGGCATACATATCCAGAAAATGATGAACCGACAAATTCAGAATCTAATATACATGATACTATCATATCCGATAATCAAACTCAATATTTCATATCCAGAGATCCAATCACTGACAATACATCCAGTCCATGTTCTGAAGAAGAACATGTCAAGGTAGGTATATAATTAACAAAATATTTTTTTCAATTAAATATTGACAGGTAGTAACTAAAACCTAAATTGAATTATACGTTAGATTTCTTTTTCAAATAAACAGTTTACTTACTTGATAAACACTAAACTTTTATCTAGTTTGTAAACAATCTACTGTAAGTCGTAAATAATCTGATTACATTGTTTCTCAGACAAGAAAGTTTTATGATCCAGTTTGATTGTTCTGTAATTTGATGAGAATATTTTTCAATAACCAATTTGAATAGACAAGCCAATGTACATTGGTTAAACTATCATGGGTATATTACACAGAAATGTAATATACACTGAAAGCTAGATCAATATATTTAGTCTGTGTAATTCATAGTTACCTAATAGATATTCGAAAATTTAATTTAATCTAGTAATTAGTCTGATAAACTTATAAGATTTTTTTCTTAATTAACTAACAATAATCAAATCACAGTTTTACAATAATGAGTTATTAAATTATAATTAAATTTCATATTGTTTAGTCATTAGGGCTGATTGAAATCAATTGAATAATTTGTAAGGCAGATGATAAATTGATTGAGAATGCATAGTGACAGATTTTTGTTTGGTGTTAAGACTTACACTCAAATTACTTGATAGTCCACTTCTAGAAAAGAATAGAAATCGTTAGGAAGGAATGCAGATCGTTAAATTTGATTACATATAATATTGTGATTGTTTGACAGAATAAGGTATTATGATTTATCTAGTAAAGAAATACTACTTTTAGAGGCATATAAATCAATACCGTTGGATGCCGGCTCAGTGGTCTAGTTGGTTAAGTGCCTGGCGTGAGACTGATAGGTCCTGGGTTCGAATCTCGTGGGGTGCGGGGTCGTGGATGCGCACTGCTGGGGAGTCCCATACTAAGCCGAAACGGCCGTCCAGTGCTTTCAGGTTTTCCATAGTGGTCTAGCTTCAATCGACTCATGATTTCAGTCAGTGAAATTTATATGAGGGCCAAGACTCTATCACTAAAGCAAATGGTTTATTTTCGATAAATGTCTAGCTTAAATGTATTTAAGAGTAAGCCAGTATATTAACATTATGGAAAATAAAATCAACATAGAAATGGTAAATTTATTCCTTAATCATTAGAATAACACAAAGTGTGTATATTTTGTCATATAATTAAAATTATTATTTCTTATTCGTTAATAGAATTAATTAAATGCTACGAAGATATTAATTTACATTTTAAATGTTTTAAATTGATTGTTAGATCGTATTCACGCTTCCAATCAACATTTATGCGATACGATAATCCAACTCGTACAGTTGATCAAATCATCTTTGAAGCTTATGAGTAAAATTAAGTCACCACTTTCGATGGTTATTTTTAGTATCTTTCTACTATTTATGATTGTAAGTATATTTTATCGTTTACTTAAGTAGCTTTTAAGTAACCTGATAGCTGAATTCATGAGCCAATTAAAGGTAGACCACCACTGAAGACCTGGAAGCAGTGCACGACCGTTTCATTCTAGTACGGGACTCCTCAGCAGTGTGCATTCACGATCCTGCACTCAGAACTCGAACCAGGGACTTTAAATCTTGTGAGCAAACGCTTAACCTCTAAACCATTGAGACAGCATCCAACGGTGTCAATTTCTAACTATGACCAATCCACGATATTACGCGACAGTCGACAATTGTCTTGCTTGAGTAACTGCCTCACAAAAGACACGGTCGAACTCCACTGGTTCTGACTTCTTAAAGGAACTCGTAAAATAATAACCCACCTGCCGATAATATTCCATAATAAAATTACTTTTATAGATTACATCTTTACTTAAATAATATTGTTTTGACCATTCTTTGGAGTTGAATATTCCTATTTACTGTATCGTACACTTAGATGGACAGTAAATATTAAGATTTCATCAACTACTGATTAATCTCATTACAATGATTACTAGTATTAGATTAACTAATTACAGGTTTTTCCTTTATTAATCTTATGTATCTAATTAGTAAAATGACCTCTCTGATTTTATTGATTTTAAATTATTTTATAAATCAGGGATAAGTGATTGTTTGTTGTTTGTTGTGTGGCAACAAGAAGACGTATAAAAATGAGTTTCGTGTAGTGTTGTGTTCTTAAAAAAAACATCAATTTATATAAGTCGTCATTTTTCTTCTTTTACTTGATTTATATTATAATTTCAATGTCGTTCTCAATCAGGTGAAGAGGTTAAAACTTGAGAAGAATATTCCACTCACTATGATTCACTTTAAACTAATGAAATAAAATGGTTGTTTTAGCTATGCATAAAGTGTAACCGTTTTAACAATTTTTTTCAGTTGATTTTAACTTACTTTTTCAGTTCACTACAACGGTATTAAATGTTATTAAACCATTTTGAAATCACATGCTGACTACAACACTTAAGTTGGATATATCATTATATATCGTCTAGGTCTACGTCAAGCCCACATGGATTATTCTGACTTCCAGAAAAACCCGTTTATTCGTTCTTCTTAAGTCATGTTTTTACTTTGTCAATCATTCTCTTATTACCCTAACTGTTTTTATTTGAGCGTGTATGTATTGATTACTCTATTCGTCTCATGTTTCTAGCTTATTTCATGCACATAGTTCCCTTTATCATTTTGAAAAGAGCAAGAACAAAGATTTTAGCAGAATAGCATGAATTCATTTTATTTCGTAGGTTCTCGTCAGCTGCTTACAACCTGTGATATTTAAAAATCATAATTGCATAATGGATTTAAATTGCTTACAAAATATTGTAAACATATACCTAATGTGATAGAATATTCTACAACATTAATTGTGACAACAGTTCAAAAATGGGTTAGAAACAATTGATTACATAATGAATAAACATTGATAGGAATATAGTGATTAGAGTTCAGTTGAAAGATTATTAATTTGAAAGATAGTTGAAAAAATAAATTAGAATCAATGATGTAATAAATGCAACAGAAAAAAGAGGAAAGAAAAAAAAGAAAAAAAAATTTTAAGGGTTCAGTGAAGGAATATTTGTCACCAGGGTAAGGAAAGATTAACCACCGTCTACTTTTGAATACATAGGTCAGGTTTTTGTCGCCTGATGGCAATGGCTTCAGCAAACTTCAGAAGACTGGAGTTTGGCTGCTTACTAATCACCCTAAATGATTGTAAGGTATCTACCTGATGTCCTGTATCAAGGAGATGTTTGGTGATCGCACTATTCAGAGTCTTTCTTTCCCTTGTTCTAAGACTTTTTGGAACATGTTCAAAGAATCTAAGATATGCTCTCCTTTCAGTTCGGCCGATGTAGCTGCTTTGGCAGGTACACGTAAATTTATAAATACAGTTGGCGGTAACATGAAAGGGTTGCTTGTCGATCTTTGATTGGGTTATTGAACATGTTGTTTTATAGAGAATTAAAAGTTTAGCAGCCGGATAAGTTCTGGCTAGCGCTGTATTCAGTCTCTTGTTGATAATTTGTGCGACGTCATCACCTTTAAAGTTAAGATTTATATATACTGGTTTTTTATTGACCACAGTTATTTCCGTCTTCTTTTCCTTGGGCCTTTTATATTTTTCAATAAATTTTTGTGGATAAAAGTTGTCTTTTAGGCATTTTTCTACGTTCATTAATTCTTCTTCCAGTTTGTCGGTGGTGCATATCTTTTCTGCCCTGTAAAATAGTGTTTTAACCAACGCCTTCTTGTAACTAATTGGACAAAAACTATTGAAATTCAGGTAGAGGCCATTCCAATTACTTTTTCTATAAATTGAACGTTGAACTGTCCCGTCTCCCCTGCGTTTTATGGCATTTATTACATCATTGATTTTATTTTACTTTTTCAACTATCTTTCAAATTAATAATCTTTCAACTGAACTCTAATCACTATATTCCTATCAATGTTTATTCATTATGTAATCAATTGTTTCTAACCCATTTTTGAACTGTTGTCACAACTAATGCTGTAGAATATTCTATCACATTAGGTATATGTTTACAATATTTTGTAAGCAATTTAAATCCATTATGCAATTATGATTTTTAAATATCACAGGTTGTAAGCAGCTGACGAGAACCTACGAAATAAAATGAATTCATGCTATTCTGCTAAAATCTTTTTTCTAGCTTATTTTGCATGGTTATAAACAATGAGTCACATTTTATTAAAATGGGTTGGCTCACTTGCCTTATCCACTTGGCTTCTATTCTGGTTTTCATTCTGAATGTTTATATGGATAAACGAGTCCTTCAATTAGATTCAACAAACGCAAGCCATATTTGCTTTATGTTACTGCCGTCACCCAAACGGTGTTAATCTAGGTATAATATACGGAGTTAAACAGCAGATTTATGTTTTTAACACATTCATTCATTTTTCGGGATTAAAGTTCGATCAACGGGCCACTAAAAAGGTATGATTTGTTCATAAATCTGTTCAAATTTTTATATTTACACACGTAATGATAGTTTAACATGGTCATTATAATGTACTCGTAATATGATGAAAGCTTTGTAAGTATTTTCTGTTACGGACAGATTAGATGTTCAGAAGTTAGGACAATGATGCTTTGTATTGAACTTTTCGGAAGTGTAGACATAAGGCTTCATACAGGATAGAGCTAATGATCATTCAGGACTTCGTAGTCAGTTACTTTTCAAGTGATTTTGTTATTCTCTTATGGTTAACAATTATGGACTTAGTTAGTTCATGATATACAGGCACTATTTATTGTTATCGATGAATTCTGTCTCATCCTTGGCGTGATCGGAATTTACAGGTCACGATTTCTGACAAAGACGTTGTGAATATTTCTCAAAAGTAGTCATTAATTAGTACATAATAACTGCTAACATATGTCAGGTTATTTATGTAAAGTCCATCTGGAATGTGAACTGAAAAGTCAACAATCTCTACAAACCTATTCTATATTAACTACTTTATGGAGTTAAAACCTGTCTTAATTCCTTGACTCTAACTTGAATGTTTTATC